ATTATTAGGTTTAAAAAAAAGTTTCTTTATTTTAGGATTTGTCAGAGCCTTTAACTTTCTAACATTCATGAAGGTAATATATAGCTATTCCCAAATAAATGTGATCCTAGAGCATATTTTTGAAAGACATACCCGTGACCAGTTTTACAGAACATACACACATACTTACAGGAACACCATGTAGACAAATCCCCACATTTTATCTATGAGAAAAGTGCAGTGCAGGGATAATGAGTAGCCCAAGTTCACAAAACTGTTAGTAGCAGATCTCCTTCTAGAAATGAAGTCATGTGATTATCAAATCAGTATCTGCCCATCAGCATCAACTGTCTCTCATGTTATGTCATATAAGTATGAGTCATTTATCACCTTAGATCTTGAGAAGTTGTCCTGTAACAGATATTTTAACCATGATGGGGGTGGGGTAAGGTTAGAGAGTGTCAGTAATAAACCTTAGACCCCGTGAAAGACCAAGACAGGAAGAAGAGGCAATGAAGATATCATAAGAAGAAATGACAGCTGAGAGAATGAATAGAAAGTCTCACTTAATGTAGATAATGTTTTTCTAATGCTTCCATCATGCTAATTATTATTACTCATAGTGAGTGCAAAGGGTAAATAAGCAAGATAAGGATTTGGATCTGATTGATTATGAAAACTCTACATAAGGCAAACATGATTGAACTAGGTTTTGATAGGAGTATGGGAACCCTGACAAGGAAGAGAGTGAGAATTTCTTGTGCTCAGAGTAGAGGAAAATGCACAAGTAGGACCATCACATGCCCTACATCAAATATGGCATTTTCTCTAGGTCATCAAGCAAACCAGGCCTACATTTGGGACTTGAATCAGAAGGCAGATATAGATCATTCATATTTTTATCATGGTATCATCTTCCCTCAATAAGATATACTTGAAAATGTATTCAACAAATGNAAGGCAAACATGATTGAACTAGGTTTTGATAGGAGTATGGGAACCCTGACAAGGAAGAGAGCGAGAATTTCTTGTGCTCAGAGTAGAGGA